ACAAGTGCCCATCGCTACTCCCTGCACCTGAAGGTAGTGGGAGTACTGAAATATGAATACATTTCTAGTTAGTATTGAATTGCAACAGTTCCACAATAAACGTAAATATAACTCTGGTGCGCCACTGGTCATTCATTTAGGAAGCCTCATACAGCACAGATCCCTTGCTGGTGTGGGATGCTGCTGTATAGGGCCTCCACATCAATAGTCACCAACCAAGAGTCATGAGAAACCACGTTACCATCCAGAATCTTTAAAAAATACAAAGTGTCTTTAACGTAAGAGGGCAGTGAGGTCACATGTGGGCGGAGATGGTCATCAACCAGTCGGCTAGCCTTTTCGGTCAACCAAGTTATATGGAGTAATGGGCTGGTTGTCTGGGAACTTTATTTTCCTATCCTGTTAACGTGAGCTTCAGTTTAATCTAATCTATGGCTAAAAATAAGTTAACATACAGTTTGATTACACTGACGTAAATATGTTGCCTTTAGATATTGGAGGTGCATTTATCTCGTTATCTATCCTTTCCCTGTGCCTGAGGGTTCTTTGTTGGGGTTGCAATATTTCCTACTGGGTTCTTAATACAGGATTACGTCCTAATCACTTGGACTGTAATACACTACCTAAAAGTAAGAGATTATGGGTACAGAATGTTCTTGTGATCTCCATATGTGAATATTAGACATGTGTGATTCGTTCCGAAACTAAATTCGGACGAATATTTGGAAATTTGGACATTCGGATGTATCCGAATTCTGAATTACAGATATAACTAATGCAAACGAATCCGAATTTCCGTTTCCAAAATTAATTAGCGATAGTTCAATCGAAAGTTTGTCTCGTTTTTGTTTCTTATTCGTTTCGTTCGTTCATTTGTTCGTTGCAGCAAAGTGACATTAGAAAATTAGAAAAACATTTTTTCCCCCTCTAATTTCACTTGGCTGCAACGAACGAAAGAACGAAACGAATAAGAAACGAAAACGAAACGACCTTTCAAACGAAGTACCGCTAACGCATTTCGTCCGAATCAGAATTTACTTTCACAGCTAACGCACTTCGTCCGAATCAGAATTTACTTTCACACCCGAATCCCGAAAAACGAAATAACACAAAATCCGAATCAAAACGAAACTAAGCTAAACAAATTTTTTTGCCAGTGCACATGTCTAGTGAATATGCTGTATTAACAATCTGGTATTTGTTAACCACAGATTACTTCACTCACTTTCCTGATAAGGCGATGATGTGAAACACGTTGAAGGTGGCATTTTTGAACATTGGTGAAATTATTCATTAACATCTAGTGGTTAATACCATATGGGTTTTGTACAAATAGATGCAATGAATTAGTCTTGCTCCTCAAGACTCTGGTAATCCTCTGCCAACAATAGTGACTTGCTTTTATGAGTGTTCATGGATACTTTAATGTTTTCTATGTTAATAGAAGTTTTGTAAATTCTTTTAAAACTGGTTCAACTGTATTGTGGTCTGTGGTCTATTGTGCTCTCATCTCAAAAGCCCTATCCAATTCTGTTTTGTGTATCTTATCTAATCAGGGTGAGATGAGACAAGGTTTTTTGGGAAATCTAACAATTATATTAGAGTAATAGCACCTCTTTTGAATATGTCCAGACCAAAAATGGATGCACTCTTGATTAAAGGATTGCGTAACTCACGCTGTCTGTGATCTCATCTCAAAAGCTCTATCCAATTCTGTTTTGTGTATCTTATCTAATCAGGGTGAGATGAGACAAGGTTTTTTGGGAAATCTAACAATTATATTAGAGTAATAGCACCTCTTTTGAATATGTCCAGACCAAAAATAGATGCACTCTTGATTAAAGGATTGCGTAGCTCACGCTGTCTGTGTGGTGGGCACATAGCCAGTACAAAATGAATGAACATCCATTTGATGGTTTCCACTGTTTCCATAAACTTAGTAACTGTGAGTCCTGAGGTGCCTTAAGCCAAGAACCTGCTACACAGTATCCAAAGTAGATAACATCCTGTATCAGATTGTAAACATTATATATGAAGATGGAATCACAGTAGCTAAAAGAGCTTCTAAGGAGCCAACAATTTCACATGGTATCAGAAGTCTATACTATTCCAGGTTATATTCAATACCAATAATTAAGCTGCATAAAAAAGTTTGCAATGAAAATCTGAATGATTTATTTTCCATCCAAAAACATAATTCTGAGAAGGGAGGGGTTTAATATGAATACATGTTGTTGGTCTACTGGCAATTGAACAAAGTATAGATATGATGCATGCCTTTACATGTAATGTAGTCTTAAGGTACATTTTCAGAGTACTGCTTAGGCACAGTTAAGATTTCTAGATGTTCCTATAGCATAGCATATCTTCATTTTTTGAGTTCAGTGCCACCTTAATTTGTGGCTTTCATATCTGTCTGGAATTTAGCTTTAACATCCTAAAGCGTTTATGGCTGTGAGAAGAAAGCTATTTTTATTATTTATATTTATTTATTATTTATATTAATAACTAATATATATATATGTATACAGTATATATACTGTATATAGTATATACACACACATACACACACAGTATACTGTATATTTGACCAATGTGGCTCTAATAATAACAGTTAAATATGTTTATCTGTATCAGTAAAAGCCAAGAAGCCAGAACTTTACCATTCATTTTTTTCAGATCCTCTCTTACTACCTGATGGATACATACAAAAACCATCATTTAAAGACTTATTTGTTTTAAAAACTGCCAATGTTTCATGTAAAACGAATCTTCCTTATGTTAACATACGCTGGATGCTTAATGGAAAGGAAAAGCGGAGCTCCTACAAGGGAAAACAGAAACCTGGCAATTCGACATGGGTGGAGAGCACATTGCAAATAAGCTTAGAAGAATGGAAAACAGTCTCAAGCCTCTCCTGCAAATTGCATCCACCCAAACCGGTACTGCAAAGAAAGATGACCATTACACGGTCAAATGGTAAGTTGACATGCAAAGCCCAGTTTTGCTTGGTCATCTATATATTCATCTGATAAAGTGAATGTAATGTGTTTTCGAGGGTCCAAAACACCCCCCCCTTTATAAAGGTTTAATGAGAGAGATCATGTGCCTGGACTACAATCCCAGCAGCTTGAAAGTTGTTTTGATTTGTGATGGGAGTACTTAAAGGCCATTTCCACCTTTGCAGAGGTACTTTTAAAAAACATATGCCAGCAATGTACACCAAGTGTACATGGAGCAAGCATATGCAGTTGATGTATATGAAAACAGAAACTTAAATTTTTTGTTAGCTTTCCTTTTCATATCAACATTAAAATTTCTGCCTCTGTGCTGTGAAAAAAATGTGTTATCTCGCCACCACCCTGTGCTGCCCTTCAGGCCTAATAAATCCTTCATTAAAAAAATTAAGAAAGCCTGCAATGTGGGCCATGAAAATGTGCACACATATACATCATCACTGCACCTCTTCATTACCATCAAAAATGAAAATCACTTACAAAGATGGAAATGGAATTTAAGGCTTGTCCACAGAAGGATTGGCAGCAACCACAAATAGTCAATAACAAAACCAGTAGTATTCTTCATATTGTTTCTTAAGGAAAAGTATTTATATTTATAAAATGGTAGTTTAGAGAGTTTAGCAGCTGTAAGCACAAATTATTGATAGCTTCCTCTACCCTTTACAAGCAATGGTTACTACACTTGCTAGAGGCGAATGACCTAAAGGCAGAGGCACATTGAATAATCCCGGGGACACAGATAGTAACCAGGCACAGTGGATATTTGTAACGATCCGTGCAAGTGCGGCTGGGTATCTGGGATCGCAGCTGCGGAGCTTAGATGGAGACGGTTCAGGAAGAGGGTTCACAGTCACACTTTAGTATAGTGAGTGCAGTCGGAACCCCTGTCACATCATACACCATCAACTCACTAAGTAGATTTTTTTACTTACACTTGTCTCTTTCTTATTAATTATGTAACTTGTAGAAACCAACTAGTTTGGCATCTCCAGTCTGCTGCTTCCCCAGGAGAAAATGCTAAAGATTACATGAAAGAAGTCGCCAATGAGCTGATTCCAGCGATAATTAAAAATCCTTAAATTGTGTACTGAGCAACCATCTTTTTTTGTGTCCACTTGTATGATCTTTCATTAACCCTGGGGAAACAGCAGAAAGTGTGAAATTAGTTCTAAGTTCTTGAGCAGTTGCTTGCTACAGTCCACCACTTTACTTGTCTCTTAATTTCTTATTCATCCTTTAAGAGGAGGAAGCCTGAAAGAACCTGGGGATTGTTGCTGTGGATACCATTTGTTATCATTGCTGAATACTGTGAAATGTTCACTCTCTAGTATGTGAAAAGTATAATACATCTTAGCATTTTAGTTGTTTCACAGATCTAAAAAAATATTTATTTAATTGTTATTGTATATATTAAATATATGTATTTATGTGTTGTTTACATATTTAATTCAGATGCAAAAGAAATGAAGACTCCATCTGTATACTTACTGCCTCCTACTCCAGAAAGTATAGCAGTCAAAGACAACCTCACTTTGGTATGCTTGGTGCAAGACTTTTACCCGGAAGACCTCTTTGTGACCTGGGAGGCTAATGGTAAAACCAGCAAGAATGATGTTCCAGATTCCAGTTCAATTAGTTGCAACCACAGAGAAAAACACTGCATGTTCACCAGTCAGCTGCCAATCCTAAAGAGTGAATGGTTAATAGATACAAGTTACTCCTGTCTTGTTGCCCATATCTCATCTGGTGTCTACATTAGAAAGAACATTAGTGCTGAAAGCATAAAATTAGGTAAGTATGAGTACAAGTAAATAGATAATAGCCATGCATTTTAAGCTTGAAAAAAAGTGCAGTTGGAGTAACACATTATATTTTTCAGAATATCTTCCTGTGAAACCTGAACATTACATCGTGAAACCATCCTTCAAGAATGTCTTTGATACCAAAATTGCAGAGGTCAAATGTGAAACCAATGAAGATAAAAATAGTCTAAGCTGGCTTGTTAATGGCACAGAAAAGGCAGAGCTCTGGGAAAGAACAGATAAACAAAATATGAAGGGGGAAGAGAAATGGATTGAAAGCACAATAAAGATCCCATTGGCAGACTGGAAAGCATTATCAACCTTGTCCTGCAAATTAAGTCAAACCCAAGAACTTCAAAATATAACTAGTGAGTCATAACGTGAACCTCCCCTTAAGAATTTTAATGTAGGTCATTTAGTCACTATGCTTGTTTAAGCAGCAGAGTAGTTTACACAATGTGTTTTTTTATTCCAAAAAACACTCCAATCTGTTTACACATTATATGGTGTAATAAAGCAGTGCGATCAGTAGTAAAATGAGATTTTATTCATTATTGAATTACATTTAGCTCGATAAAGCACTGTGTATCATAAACAATTGCTGTTTCATCATACTGCTCTAACCTTTTTCATCCTTTGTTAAGTCTTAGTGCTGTAAATAATCTGCAGCCTCTTTGCAGCCACTTCTTGTCTACATGTTCTCACTCTAGAGATGGCTGTCTGACATATCTCAGGGTGGGTCCCTTTATGGTGGCAGCAGTAGACCATTTCTGCCCGATGTGTGTTGAAATGGACACATGTAGTCTCCCTTGTGACAAGGTATAACTCAGGAGCACAACTGAGAGAAAGACACAGAGACCCCTTATAACAGAAAGTGCTTGAGCAAGAACCTTCATGGCAGGGTCACCAGGTATTATTTTAAATCAAAGATGCTGATTTCAAAATATTGAAAGCAACTTTTTAAAATGACATTAACATGTAAGATTTGACAAGATTTTAGTGACTGTGTTTAAAAATACTTTAATAGATATTTTCATTGTATAGCCAATGTACTCATAGGGACCTTTTTTTTAAAAAAAACTCTAGAAGACATGCAATAACAAAGATCTTTACTGTGGTGAAGGACCATTCAGATTTTATACTTTATTTTCAACCAAAATGAAGAAGGAATTTGATTGGTCACGATAGGCAATTTCTTCACTTTTCGTGTGTTTGTGTTTTCAATAATAGGGCCCAAAGAATTTGATAGGCCAGTTAAATAATTGTTCATAAACATCACTTACTCAATGTAACAATTATTTTAGATCCAAACGTGATGAAAAGACCAAGAGTATACATACTCACAACCAATGATGCCAATGGGACAGAAGAAGAGCAGATGAGTTTAATTTGTCTTGTAAAAGCATTTTATCCAGAAGACATTTTTGTAACCTGGAACGTCAATTACACCATAATCCAGGAGGATATTCCAAGCCCGAAAGATGTCACATGCGACCACGAGAGCCAACAATGCTCATTTGTCAGTGAGCTGTCCATTTCAAAAGAAGACTGGGATGCAGGAAAGATATACATGTGCCAAGTGGCTCATATCTCCTCTGAAATCTACTACATTAAAAATGTCAGCAATGTTATTGGTGAAACTACACAACCAAGTATGTATTTATTATATGAACTGTACAACAATTTGAGTGCAAGTGTTTTACTCATTTTCTATACTACATTAAATTTTAAAAAAAGGTCTGAGAAGCTCCATTTTTTGCTTTTCTTTGATTCCAAATAACATAATAAATATACATGATTAGGAATTAATGAACTGGATAAAATTCGGTTTGCAGGGTATTCTGTGAAAGTCGAACATATCACCTAACCCAAAGAAGTTTATGTGACCTGAATTGTATTTTGTTCTTGCTTTTTCAAATGCCAATTTGTAGTCTTCCATTAAAAAAGGGCATGGGTAGATGGGCATTGCCGTGGGGGACATGTACCATTGCAAAAAAGAATTTAAAAAATACAGTTTAGTGGGGAGAGGGTCTCTTAACGTGGCTTTGAATAACATACTTTGGGGATGCCTTAAACTTGCACGTGAATTGTGGAGCAGTACAATTTACTGCTTCAAAAGTGACAAACAGAAGTTGCTGTTGAATGACATATCCCTTGTTGGCTTCTGTTTGGAAACCAGCCAGAGGACCTGTCCTTTAGTGGCAGTAGAACTACCATAGCTAAATGACAGATCTCTATCAGCTTGTTTGTAAACAAACAGGCCAGGGATCCTGCGTGATATCATGGTTATGACCATAGTTGGTCACTGATGTCACCCAGAATCCATAGGGACTTTGTTTACATACAGAGGGCAGCTGAATTCTGTCATTTGTGATGGGTCATCATGTTGGCACACCATTGCGATTGATGTAGAGCTACATCGCTGGATGACGAGATTCACATTGGATTTACATCAGGGCACATTTTTTTTCCCTAATAAAGAACTTTTGTGCACCCCTTCCTAAATTATACTATGTCACATGCCTTTAGCATTGGGAAGGTACCTTGCAAGCCTTCCCCTTGCATGGAACCTTGTTCTCAAGTTGATGTGAACAAAGGCCTTATCCCCACATCCAGATCCGGAAGCATCCCTTTAGAAAAGGGGACCCCAGCTATCCACTCCCCCAGGTGAATAAGTAAGGGGTGTATAGTACGCTTTGTTACTCATTCAAAAAAAAAACTGTAAATAAAAAATCCAGATTGTGGAAAGCACTTTCTTGAAATAAATAATAAACAAAGTCCAGCAATGTAAATCCAAGGTCAATCACGTTGTCCAGCTATGTAGATCGACATCAACTATGATAAGCACCACCTGACATTGACATTGAACCCGCAGTAACAAAAATAACCCATTGCACCTACTTGCATTACAAATGATGATTATGACCATATTTGGTCAATGACATCACCCAGGGTCCCTGCCAGCTTGTTTACAAACAAAAGGTTCCAGGGATCTAGCATGCTATTTAGTATCATTAGCGCTACTGCCTCTACATCAGCCAGAGTTTGGGTGGAAGAACTGGCCAACGGGCTGGGCTTAGACCAAACTCATGTTCAACTTGAGCTTGATCACAACGTAAAATATAATTTAGCTCAATCTGCTAACCAATAATCTTGTGTATATGTTGCATAGCATTGACTGTCATCTTCATTCAATAAAGACTTTTTTTATGTGTCAGTTGTTAAATGGAGTAACCCCAAGGAACTAGTCAGAACCCATCTTTTACCGAGTTTGGTTAAGCAGAGAAATCTGATTGGCTGCTGTTGGTTACTGCACTTATGAATAAGAATTATCTACTGAATTCTTATGGGATACAGCAAATGGTACAATTGCAACCATTTATTTGGCCTTTGCTTCAAAACCACTTTGAGAGGGAATGACAGGGAGGCACATTTAACTATAAACATGATTCTGACTGAGTTATTCCAGTAATTTAAACCTAGAGGTTGATAAGATATTTAACGTTTTAGCAAAATGCATGACATTTTTGTGTTTTGCAAACATGACTAAGTTATTGATTAGGCTTAAAGCCAAACTCCAGGATAAACAAATGTGCTCTAAAAGAGTCTATGTATTCTTACTTGTATCTTGGTGTGCTTTGTGTTTTTCTTCCAAATCTCTATTCCAGCATGAAACTTTGTGCAGGAGCTTCCTGTAATAAAGACCAGTCACTGCTATGCTCTCTCCTTGTGCAGGGTGACTGGTCTTATATCCGCCCCCTCCTGCAGTTTTCTGCAGGCAGTATTATTATTCATTTATTAACTAATATAAAGTACAGTGGATGGGAAATGTAGATTTTCAGCTACAATTCTGAATTTTCTTTTTATACAGTTAAAATTGGACTATTTTTTTTATCCTATAGTTATTTAACCAAGATAAGTAACATCATAAGTTCATACACATCTTAGATCAGAAAATTGAAATTGAAATTAGACATATAATTAGTAAACTGTCCACAAATTTTCCTTCGGTTGCTGTTTATGAATTGCAATTTCATTACAATGTGATAAAAATAAACATATTGGTTTTGTTCTACTTTCAGATAAACCTTTATCCACTAACAATTGTTCTTTCTACCATGATGATGGGGGAGAAGACTTAAGTGAGTCAGAAGAAATAAACAGTATATGGACCACATCATCAACTTTTATTGCCCTCTTTCTGCTGACATTAATCTACAGTAGTTGTGTCACTTTTGTTAAGGTAATTATAGAATTATTCATCTATAGTGTACAAAAAAGTTAAAGGAGAACTATGAGGTGAGTGATTTTCACTCAACCTCATAGTTTGAGCCGACGTGTGACAATAAAACTGTCACGCGTCGGCTCAATAGATCGTGAAGTGAGCGAACACATACCGTTGCTCGCTCACTTCTTGATCCTGTCCCTGCAGAGAGCCGTGACTGTCACTCATGGCTCTCTGCAGGGATTCCCCCCCTTCCCGCTCCGATCCTCCATCGCTGACTGGAGGAACAAACGGGGGAGGGGCGGGTACAGCTGGCTCTGCCTCTAGCTAGGCAGAGCCAGCTGTCAATCACAAAGCTGGGTGGCTCTCGACAGTAATGTCGGGATCAGTCCCGGCTGCGGTGGTCTCAGTATACTGCGAGCTCACGTCCTCCCGTGACCCTGAGGAGAACTATGGGGAAAAACACTTACCCCATAGTTCTCCTTTAACTAACAAAGCAAATGTACAAATTAAATGAACACGGGTATGCCCCTGGTAAGAAGTAGCAGTGGGACCATTCCTAGAATGGCCAAATAAGCATGTTATGCTTCATCTAAGTGTGAGTGTCATGTGGTTTACAAAGTGATTCATATTACTTCATTTGAAACAATGATTTATTAAAGTGTAACTGAAGCCAAAAGTCTTTTTTTTAGTTTTGGATGGAGTAGAGAGAGATTACAACATCTGTCAGACTTTGTCCCTGTTAGGGAGATTCACCCTTGATTTGTCCTGGTTATCATTATTACTGAAAGGGAAAGAAAATCCAAAATTTTGGGCTGTCATCCAAACAGGGATAGTTGGGAAATCTTCAAATGGGGACACTAGTTCTGGTGACCCTGCTGACTACCAGGATTTCACTCACTTTGTAGGGATTTTCTCCCACATATCAAACAGAAAGTGAAGGGAAATCTCCCCAATGGGACACAGAAGACAAAAGAAGCTGACACGGGTTTTAACCCTCTATTACTCTATTCAAAATATTTAAAAAATTGGCTTTAGTTCTACGTTAGGGCAGAGGGAGTGGCTCAGCAGGGAAAAAAAGATTGCAGTTTAGAATTAACCATAAGAAAGGGACCTAGAATTTTTTCTGTGATACATACATATATGTGCACACACTACGTGGGTGACTCATGGCTCTCTGCAGGGATTCCCCCCTTCCCGCTCCGATCCTCCATCGCTGACTGGAGGAACAAACGGGGGAGGGGCGGGTACAGCTGGCTCTGCCTCTAGCTAGGCAGAGCCAGCTGTCAATCACAAAGCTGGGTGGCTCTCGACAGTAATGTCGGGATCAGTCCCGGCTGCGGTGGTCTCAGTATACTGCGAGCTCACGTCCTCCCGTGACCCTGAGGAGAACTATGGGGAAAAACACTTACCCCATAGTTCTCCTTTAACTAACAAAGCAAATGTACAAATTAAATGAACACGGGTATGCCCCTGGTAAGAAGTAGCAGTGGGACCATTCCTAGAATGGCCAAATAAGCATGTTATGCTTCATCTAAGTGTGAGTGTCATGTGGTTTACAAAGTGATTCATATTACTTCATTTGAAACAATGATTTATTAAAGTGTAACTGAAGCCAAAAGTCTTTTTTTTAGTTTTGGATGGAGTAGAGAGAGATTACAACATCTGTCAGACTTTGTCCCTGTTAGGGAGATTCACCCTTGATTTGTCCTGGTTATAGGAGAGAGATTACAACATCTGTCAGACTTTTTATGGCTTTGTCCCTGTTAGGGAGATTCACCCTTGATTTGTCCTGGTTATCATTATTACTGAAAGGGAAAGAAAATCCAAAATTTTGGGCTGTCATCCAAACAGGGATAGTTGGGAAATCTTCAAATGGGGACACTAGTTCTGGTGACCCTGCTGACTACCAGGATTTCACTCACTTTGTAGGGATTTTCTCCCACATATCAAACAGAAAGTGAAGGGAAATCTCCCCAATGGGACACAGAAGACAAAAGAAGCTGACACGGGTTTTAACCCTCTATTACTCTATTCAAAATATTTAAAAAATTGGCTTTAGTTCTACGTTAGGGCAGAGGGAGTGGCTCAGCAGGGAAAAAAAGATTGCAGTTTAGAATTAACCATAAGAAAGGGACCTAGAATTTTTTCTGTGATACATACATATATGTGCACACACTACGTGGGTGTTTGTGTGTCTGCATGGTGACAGGGGCTCTTTAAATTTTTAGTTATTTTATTATATTTTAAATTTTCTTACACTTTTTCTTCACTTAACTTTATTGCTATAACAAAGGGGCTAACAAACTTCTAGCGATGCACAGATACCAGTTCAGGTACCAGTGCCAATACTTGGCATTTTCACGAGAACTACCAGGGTTGCAGCGGTTGCCGCTAAGACAGGGCCTTGGGGCTCCACCACTGTCGTGAAATCATTAGTCTGTATTGTTTTAGAAAAACTGTCACATGACACTAAACTAAAATGTTTCAGTAATTGTATCTGTGAGCACCTACTGTCTCAGTCCCATAAAATGAATCACTTGTTTTGATTGAAAAATATACTTTATTAATATAATAAAATATATACAAAAACAAGCTATACAATCGGGGTATATTCTACCTTGTACTGTGACGCAGCGCATAAACACTACATAGCAATACAGCTCAATCACACAATTAATTACATTCGCACTGCGGCGAGATGCCTGACGTGTAGCGCAAGACAAGAGTCCTGAGCCCTCCACGTCATTCATGACATCGCATTACCCCGTACTGAGTATGTGGTCCGTAGGATCCACATTGATTACCTTAACCTACATAAACTTCAATAAACCTTGCGGTGCAATGTCTGACGTGCGGAACTCAAGGTTCCTTACATCATACATGGCACCGCGACAACACAGCGAGCATAAACATTACCAACAATAAAACGACAGATTTGCTGTAGGGGAGGGGGAAAGAGTTCACAGGCCCAAAGCTTTATTGAAGGACAAGAGACACAAAAAGGAGAGGGGGGGAGGGGAAATCTTCTCAGACGTCCTCTTCCTCCTTCCTCAGTCTGCAACAGTCCTCAGTGGACATCCTCTCCCTCCGGAGGGTGAGGCGCTTCCTTGCACACCAAATAGCGTCCTTGAAGCAACACATCACCCGCCAAGCGCCTCCGATTTCTTCTGTAAAAGCGCCACAAAACAGTCCATACATCACCCCAAAGCGAGTAATCGCTTTCAGCGGCACAAAGTCTTTGAGTTCATGTTCCAGAGCCCTCAACAGGGCCTGTGCAACAGGGCAATGCCAGAAGAGATGCAAAGCGGTCTCCTCCTCGGTGATGCAAAAGGGGCAATGCCTGTGTCTGCACAGGTTTCTGGCATGCATGAAAGTCCGGACGGGCAACCCTCCCTGGATCGCCATCCATGCCAGATCTTTGTGCCTGTTGGTGAGTCTCTTAGATGAAACACTCCTCCAGACAAATTTGCAGGTGTTCAGAGGGAGGCAAGGAACAGTCTCAACAGTGTCCTTAGCTCTGATGAGCTTGTAAATAGGCGCTGCAGTCTCCTGAGTTCCCTCCTCCTGGCATACACTTGCTGGCGACCCCTTTCCTGAAAGAAGCTGCGCAGCTTGACCTTCACAAACTCCCACCACTTACCCACTTTTCCGAAGAGCGGTTTCTCCTCCTGCCAGGTGACGTACAGTTCTCTGAGTTCCCCCAGCAATTCCTCATCTTCCAGCAGGGTGCAATTCAACTTCCAGGAGCCCGGTCCGGGGGGGCGAAGCCCTCGCCCAGGTTTCCCCCGGAAGTGAATAGCCCTGTGGTCAGAGAAAAAACAGGGGACCATGGAGCGTCCGACGTTCTTGACTGCCCGTGAGGTCAACACAAAGTCTATCCTGGAACGCACAGATCCATTGGGTTGGCACCAGGAGTAATATGTTACTGCTGCTGGAGCTGCGCCCACCCTCCTCTATAGGGCAGTTAAAATCACCACCCAGGATTACTGCTCTGGTTGTGGCTAGCTGGGTCCGCAAGGTCTGGAAAAGCTCCAGTCGCCCATTCTTGCCCGGGGGGGGCGTACACGTTGATCAGCCTAACTGGCTCGCCCGCCCACGAACCGTCTATGACCAGAAGGTGGCCACAGAGGAGCTCATGGACAGATTCAACGTGAGACGCCCTCCCCTGACAAGAATGGCTACACCCGCAGACTTACAGTCGCCACCCCCAGACCAGTAAGAGGGACCATGGGTCCACTCGGAGGACATAGTGCTGTACCTCCTAGAGTAGGGTAGTGCGCATTCCTGCAGCATGAACACATCGCTACACTGGGAGGAAGGCATCATCTGCCTTCTAGACGTATCCTTGATGCCATTGATGGAAAAGATGGAGATCTCAGCCATAATGTAGAGAGAGAAAAAGGGCTAGTCGGCACAAATTAATCACTTTTATTAACTAGCTGGTAGCTTGCTGAACAAGAGCTTGTTTTAACCCCTTTAGGGCTAGGACATACCAGACACATCCAAAGAACTGTAGAGGTTAGGGACGGATTTATTTTCTGTACTAAATTTGCATAATAGATCAGCTAATGTTGATCTATATAATGCTCCTTAGCACTTAGTGCTGCAACAGTTATGAGGTTCAATTTCATTGCTAAATTAATGTTTTACAACTGAGAGAAAATCGGTGTACCATCAGTATTTGGTCACACTGTCATGCAAAATCTGTCACTTCGGTTGCCAAACAGATTCATAGTTTAATGGTTACATTTTTTAAATCAGAAATGCACATTATTTGATATTTATTTGTTCAGCCCGACACTAACCAGTGTGGATGGATGACTCTCCCATTGTTTCCATTTTATATTTGAACAGTGATGGCAGCTAAATGGCTGCCACCATCGTTTACCCAAAGATTTTGAAGGATGCTGGATGAAAGGGTGCCAACAGGGGCACCCAGTGCAAATTTCAACTGGCTCATCAAGAACTAACCAAAATGTGTACAGTGTATAGCCAGATTGAGTCTGCACTGACATTGTGTTTGCTCTCCATTATATACTATACATGCTGTAAGTGGAATAAAGGTGGGGGTTTTAAATGTCTCTAACTTCTTGGTGTGCAGTAATTCGAGAGTCTCAACACTCCAGCGATAATATGATGACAACAAAAAAGCAAATACATGAGAGAAGGGGGTGTAACAATGCAAAGAAGGGAGATGGTTGGGGGTGTACAGAAGTCCTTTAGTACTGCTGAAAAGAATGGGAGCATAAACGCTGAGGAGCAAAACAGACAAGGAGTTGAAACACTCAAATTGTAAAACTGTTTGGCGGAAGAGGCCTCCATGGCTTCTGACATGAAAAAAGAAATGCTCTTCTCTTTTTATATTACAAAGGATTATACGGACTCAAGACTGGTTTGCTCTTTTTAATACCGTGTTTTCTTGTTTCAGGTTAAATGAAGGTAAAAGCTCAAACTGTGAAGTCCAAAGTCAAAGTTATAAAAAATATTTTCTTTAACATTTTTCTTTAACAATCAACCTTCGAGGGTATATTAAAAGAAATAAATAAGCCAAATGCAATACATCAAACTAAAGGACAAGTTCAACAGAAACCAGGTCATCAAGACAGACGTGGCATAGATTCGTACTACAACGTTCTACTGATGAGATGATGTTATGAAGGACATAACCAAAATGCATTATTACGTAATAGAAAAGCTTTTGTTTATCGCAGACATACTAATGCTAGAATACTAATGCTGGTTCTTTAAAGTAGCTATTTTTATTTGCATAAATAAACATAATAAACTTGTAATGCTGTAATGGCGTGGAAATTGTAGAACCTTGTAGTTTTGCTTGCAAGTCTAATAAATTGCTTACAAATTGTGTACATTATTATGTTGTTATTATTATTATTTGCAATTTAATTTTGAGGTTTAAGGCTACAGTGCAAAAATCAATTTTTAACATGTTTAAAAAAAAAAAAAAAGATTTTTGTTTTCCAGGTTTTAAAACTGGAGTATGCTGATTTACTAATCTTGGTTACCTGCAAGTTTAGGCAGGTTTCACCAAATTAAACCAAGGGTTTCAACCACTTTTAGTTCCTGGTGATATTCATCAGGTGTGCCAGTGCTCTCTTATATACTTCCCATATTACCTTGTACCTGCTGATTCTTTCTCATAGGCATCAATCAGTGAAACACAGGCCAAGCACAGGCATCTTAAAATAGTCACAAAAAGTCACAAATTTATTAAATGCAATTGGATCTGTGTAATAAAGGTGATCAATTAATCGAAAATATTGTTTGCTTGCTGTTCATTCAATACGGACTACTTTCCTATTGACCAATTTCAGAGTGCAGGCACACATCATGCAGGAAGCCCATGCCTAAAGTGAGGATCCAATTCTGCTTTGAACACTGCGGGAGGCCCCCCTTCCAGTTCTGTGCTGATTCTTGTGAGAGCGTACCCCCTCCCTCTACATTCGTGTGACCTCCTTGTATCTCTGAGGAACAGTGAGATAAGAGCTGTCACTCTGCTTTGAAGAGTATAGTAGTAAATGTAGAGAAGTGAACTGTCAAAGTCTGCATCTACGATTTTATATCACAGATAGGGTGATAACTGACTGAGCTGCAAAAATGAATACAAGGTGAGACTTCTTCTTTAATAATAAGGCATGCACTAACTATAAATGTTGACCACAAACTGTTACTAACTCTTGTCACTTCAGTGAGACAGGGTTGCTGTTATCAAATCAGGAGAAAATCCAATTCTCTACATTTTGATACCTGCAGTAGTACGTGGCTGGGAGGAGGTAGTGCACAATAGTGTCATCCTCAGTGACCCTGAAGACTCTGATTCTCATGCCTCCTCAGACTTATGGTGCATGGGCTCCCTTATTCTGCAAGCCTGCGAAACAACCCCAGTATTTGTGGTATCAAGGAGAGGGATAATTACTTGTTGCCAACCCTTCTTGATCCATGTTACAAATGTAAAGTTGCAGAGCTCATCCTGCCTTCACAGAGGGAGCATAGGATGAAATAACTTGAGGACGCGTTGAAGAGAAACTTGTTTAACATCTTTCTAGACACTGAGGCTTTGGTTGGTCAAAGGAAGATCGGTAGAGAAGGGGCCGCCTGATTGATGCCTTTAGAAATGTTTTCAGTCCTCAGCGCCCAAGGATGTTAACTTTAGGCACCCATCGGCAGCGTCTGCATTATATGGTGCAGGATTACCTAGGGGCAAGAGCAGACCTGGAGAGCTTTCCAGCAGATGATCTACTGGCTTACTGTGAACCCTTGAGAATGGATCACTGGCCAGAACTTACCCAATATGCAATAGAGAAACTTGTTTAACATCTTTCTAGACACTGAGGCTTTGGTTGGTCAAAGGAAGATCGGTAGAGAAGGGGCCGCCTGATTGATGCCTTTAGAAATGTTTTCAGTCCTCAGCGCCCAAGGATGTTAACTTTAGGCACCCATCGGCAGCGTCTGCATTATATGGTGCAGGATTACCTAGGGGCAAGAGCAGACCTGGAGAGCTTTCCAGCAGATGATCTACTGGCTTACTGTGAACCCTTGAGAATGGATCACTGGCCAGAACTTACCCAATATGCAATGGAGCCACTGGGCTGCCCTGCATCCAGTGTGCTTTCCGAAAAGACATTAAGTGCTGCTGGAGGCTTTGTGACAGATAAAAGAGTGTGTCCGTCCACAGACACCGTTGACCGTCTGACATTTACCAAAATGAATCAGTCCTGGATCAGCAGCAGCTATCAATCCCCTGATGCTGATGTAACCGAATAAATTTGTCGAGGATCTGAGATCTCTGGAAGACTGCCTAGGCTGCCTAACTTTGTGGGTGATTATTCTATCTTGCAGTAATGTTTTCGGTGTAGTGCACCACCAACACCCAAGGCCCAATTTTTCCGCACCCGCATGTGACAGGTGCATAAAATTAGAATTTTTGGAGCAGGGTCCAATCCTGCACTCATCAAGAATAACTCTGAAGCGTTATGGTGTGAAGGCACTTGCCAACACTAAAGGCCCAATTTTAAAGCACCTGTTGTTACTTTCATCCAATGTCTGCAAAAGAGGCAACATAATTTATCCCAAAAATCTCTAACCTTGTTCCGAGTGTCCTAACATGTGGCCTCTTAATACAGGCTGCCTCCCCAAGAAGTTGTTTAAAAGAATAAAGGAAAACCAAATACCGGCAATTGAAATGTAGCGTTGAAGAGAAACTTGTTTAACATCTTTCTAGACACTGAGGCTTTGGTTGGTCAAAGGAAGATCGGTAGAGAAGGGGCCGCCTGATTGATGCCTTTAGAAATGTTTTCAGTCCTCAGCGCCCAAGGATGTTAACTTTAGGCACCCATCGGCAGCGTCTGCATTATATGTTGACCGTCTGACATTTATCGTTGACCGTCTGACATTTATCAAAATGAATCAGTCCTGGATCAGCAGCAGCTATCAATCCCCTGATGCTGATGTAACCGAATAAATTTGTCGAGGATCTGAGATCTCTGGAAGACTGCCTAGGCTGCCTAACTTTGTGGGTGATTATTCTATCTTGCAGTAATGTTTTCGGTGTAGTGCACCACCAACACCCAAGGCCCAATTTTTCCGCACCCGCATGTGACAGGTGCATAAAATTAGAATTTTTGGAGCAGGGTCCAATCCTGCACTCATCAAGAATAACTCTGAAGCGTTATGGTGTGAAGGCACTTGCCAACACTAAAGGCCCAATTTTAAAGCACCTGTTGTTACTTTCATCCAATGTCTGCAAAAGAGGCAACATAATTTATCCCAAAAATCTCTAACCTTGTTCCGAGTGTCCTAGCATGTGGCCTCTTAATCCAGGCTGCCTCCCCAAGAAGTTGTTTAAAAGAATAAAGGAAAACCAAATACCGGCAATTGAAATGTCATTTTTTTCTTTTTAAATTTCACTTTTTGCTGCAGCAGGTTCTATACATCATACAGATCCGCCACTTCGCAGGCAGTTTAAGGGGACCCCCCAGGTACGATATTTAAAGGAATTTTTATTTTTTATTTTTACCCTTTAAGTGATGTTAAAATCACTGTTCCTTTAAAAACTGTATTTTTTAAAAGTGTTTTTTCCCCCATTGATTTATGTCCCCAAGGGCAGTACCCGAATCCCCATACCCTTTATAAATACAGGCTGCCTCCCCAAGAAGTTGTTTAAAAGAATAAAGGAAAACCAAATACCGGCAATTGAAATGTCATTTTTTTCTTTTTAAATTTCACTTTTTGCTGCAGCAGGTTCTATACATCATACAGATCCGCCACTTCGCAGGCAGTTTAAGGGGACCCCCCAGGTACGATATTTAAAGGAATTTTAATTTTTAATTTTTACCCTTTAAGTGATGTTAAAATCACTGTTCCTTTAAAAACTGTATTTTTTAAAAGTGTTTTTTCCCCCATTGATTTATGTCCCCAAGGGCAGTACCCGAAATCCCCATACCCTTTATACGGCCATTAACTTGCATCTAAGCCTTCAAAAAGGGGACAATTGATTTGGAAAGTTCAACCCCCACTTGCATTGAGTTCGAATTAAAATTCAAACTTTTTGGGTGTTCTAAAGTTCGAATTCAAACCGAACCGGCCTATTCGGCCCATCAATAATAACTAGTTGCCACTGACATTGTTACACACATAAGTTAGAAAACATGATGATTTTCGAAGCGGCTTTTGTGGAACTGGGTGTTAAATGCCAATAGGAGATTCACAGCTAACTTCCTCTGTGTGGTTCAAAAACCCACCTCTGTGTGGTTGAGAAACCTATAGTATGGAACAATCTACCACACAAAAACAATGATTTAATGTTCTTGTTGCCAACAAAAGCTAAACATGTTATGTGTTACTGTTTCCCCAAATGTCAACTCTAAACTACAGTGTTCTATTTTATGTCTATTTATTAAGAGTAACTTTAAAGTGTACATACAGCCAAAACTTCTAATGACAATGGTCACCAGCATAATAACAAAAGGTATCTGTTAAAAATAAATCAGGCAACTGGACTTGCTGTATTTTTCTTGCTGTTAAATCGCGTTGTTTACCCATATCTTCAGAAAAAAAATCACTTCTACTGTCGTGGTAAACAACCTGCTTCCCTATTTATAATGGTCTGGCCCTCTAGCAACTTCAGCGCAAAATTATAGCTAATTATAGCTAATTT